CCACCGACGGGAGGCCAGTAAGCTGACAGAAGGCAGAAAACTAGCCCTGAAGTATCAAGGCCCCTACATCATCAGTGCCATAATCAAAGCCGACACATACAAACTCAGACACCTAATGGGTCAGAAGTACCACGATCGTGGAATGTACATAATTTGGTGAAGTTATATCAATAATTTGAAGGCGGTGTAACCAGGCAAAGCCCTCACCCCGAGGTTAAGAGCTCATTAAGAAGCTAACTCCTTCACGTGTAATTTTAATTTGATTTGAATAGGTGCAATAGATAAATAAGGGGGAAGTTCAAATTAATGGTGCAGTATAATAGGATTTGATCTGGTGCGATTAATACTGCGGTGTCAAACTGCAGTAATGTTTTAATTTGATCTGGTGCATTTGCATTAATAGGATCCTCCTCGCCTCTGGCCACATAGATTAGGGAAAAGGCAAAATCACTATCGAGGATGGGCGGCTTGTGTAACGGTTTAACGCTCGGACCCCTTTTAACGCAAGACCGACGAGGAAGAAACTGAAATTCGATCCAGTCGCTTCAACCGTTGATCTGGTGGGGTCTCTCTGATGATGATCCCGCCACACCCTCTTCTCAACCCAAGATCTGTCAAGGCCCTGTTCCCGAAATGGACGTGTGCCCTTCCTTAACCATCATTGAATTCTCTAGGTTAGGTCCCCATGCTGAATCAATGATTTTCTTTGGCCAAACACCCTCCTCCCTGTGGTTCTCCGTCGGTCTCAAGGTTCCCCCGAATTTCGCTGCATGGGAGCAGCTCGAGGACCTGCTAGAGGGCAACATGGGAGAATTGAAGCAAGGCAGACGTCTATTTCAACAAGGCTCGGGCGGTGTTTGAGCGCCAGGGTATGCAGATGGCGAAGATTCAGAATGATGTTGAGGCCTTGATCCGGAATGCTTAGGATTGCGCCACCCGAATTCAAGCAAAAGCCGACCTTTCTGATAAGAATGCGAGGGAGAATATGTCTTTGAAGGAAAATCTCCTACGCCGCAATGATGAGCTGAGTGCGCTCCATGCCAAACTGGCTGCGGTCGAGAAGGTCGGCGTGGTCATTAAGTGCGGCACAGGGAAAAATGGATCAGTTCCTAATTATGAGGCCGACGTCTCCTCCATTAAAAACGTCGGCTTTGCGGATTTCCAGCGTTCTGATGTTTTCCTAGAAGCTCTGAGGAATACTGCTCAGCAATTCCTCCATAACTATGTTGGAGAATACATCGAGCAGAGCCAGGAGCCCATTAAGGATGGTATCAAGCTGCTCGATTTGTCTCCCGCTGGGAAACCGTTCCTTGTCGACCTGGCCGATAATACTTTTTTTATCAAAGAGCATGATTTTCCATTTTTAAGAAAACATGTCAGTGTTCGAGCGTTATTTCCCGGACCCTTTCGACCCTCGGGCCGCTGGGTACGATATTATGTTCTTGGATTCTTATGAAGAAGCGCTTCGCCTGAACAGGAAGAAAGAGGACGGTGCTCCCAAGTAGACTATGCCGGACGGAAATCCACACTTAGAGTAGTTTCCTTTTTTCTTGTTGTACTTTGAACTTATTCTCTGTATCCCCGACTGATAGTGCCGATGAATGAAACTATTCTTCTCTTGCTGAAATATGTATCCTATGTTCCATTCATCGTCTCTTAGATCCCCTCACCAAATTGATCGCTGATGTCATACATGGCGTAGGTCCTTCTGGAATCTTGGCCTGTGTTGTAGGTCAGGGGGAAGCCTGAATGATGCAAACCCTATAGACCACCGGACTGAAGTGTATCAGGTCCCTTTAGCCTCTTTTATCATCGTCATCAGGATATCTACCATGGCTATCGTTGGGCTCGACCTCACTGGATCGCCTCAGCCTGGTTTGTAACGGGTTAGCCAGCGCGGGACTGAGCTGGTAATGAGAGCTCAGCCTCGGCGCGGGGCATCAACCCAGCTGATATATGTCTTGGACCGTTGTTCTGGATCTTCTAATCTAGCCCCAAAGGTTTATGACAATATACTCCATCACTCATATCGCAAGAGCAAGATATCTATTGATCCCCTTGACTAGTAAGGTTAATTAGGATGCTCATGCACAAGTGAGATGTCATTTGTCCATATTAATCTTACTTGAAAGTCAAGGAATATCAATTAAGAAAACCAAGAATGACATGGACCCGTTGATCATATTATCAGTTGAGATATTGTTTGGTACGACGTAATTAATTAACATAGTTAAGCAATGAATAATTTATGTTAGATTTAGTGCGCAATTATACAACTTTAGTAGTCATAATATCTTGCTAGAAATCATTTATTGTTTGTCTACCTAAAATAATTATGTGACCCACTACCATCGTTATATAAACCTACATGGTTACACACATAAGAGATATGAATCATTAATAGACCCAACTCGAAATTAGGACTTTGAGTCATATTGGGATAGGGTTTGTAGAAAGCATTTTTCAGCTATAAAATCATGTTTTCCACCCTCTTATTAGTCTCATTCAAGGCAACCACAAAATTTAGGTCGTACACATATATGCACATCTATGTATTTCAAAATCAACTTGACAAAAAAATTGAAATCATTCAATCAGATCTAGATGGTGAATATCTAAGCCAAGAAATTGATGAGCATCTAAGGAGTTATGGAATAGTCTCACAATTCACTCCGCCTAGTCTAGCTTTTGTGACAATTTGAGGTGTCAAGTTTATGTAAAACTTTTATTATCAAATAATCTTGAACCCAAATAAGATAAATGCTTGTTTTTGTAATATCCTAAGGAAACAAAAGGATATTACTTTTACAACTAATCAAATGGTGAAGTGTTTGTTGCTCATAGTAGTATCGTTTACAAAGAGAGTTTCTTTTTTAGAAAACCGGTGGAGTGAATTACATCTCAGAGAAATTCAAGAAGTACAAGATAGTAATACTATATTTACAAGACCATCAACCACAAGTTGTTGTGGATACACCAGGGGTAGCACTTGTTTTGAGAAGGTCAAGTAGGGTATGTAATGAGCAAGTAAGATACATGTTTACACACTTATCGTTACTGGCCTTTTCAAGATATATTACACACTTCTATTGCTCCGTTGCAGTTAATTCATTATGATGTTTGACAATCTCTTGTTTTATCTCATCTAGGTTATAAATATTATGGTTATTTTATGGATGCCTACTCCTAATTTATGTGGCTTTATCCTATGCGTAGAAAATCCGATTTTTTAATCATTTATAAATTTAGTTGAAAATATTTTAGAACGCAAAATTAAATGTTTCCAGAGTGATGACTATGGTGAGTTTGATAATCAGGTTTTTCACACTCATTTTATTAAATGTTGTACGTAGTATTTCATTAAAAAAATCTTGTCCGAATATCCTTGATCAATGCAAACATTGTCATCTTTTAGAGTTAACTTAAACTATGCTTAGTGAAGGTAATATTCCCGTTCACTTTTGGGTAGATGCTCTCTATACAGCTACTAATTTTGCTATTTCCTTTGGCTGGTCAGTGCCTCAATTAGGTGTCAAAAATGTCATTTTACATGGTTACTTAACTGAAGAAGTTTGCATGTGTCAATACCATGTTTTGTCCATCCATCTTTTTCTCATCATATTAGTCGTATTAGGAAAGCCTTGTTATGACTTAAACAGGCTCTTCGTGCATGGTTTCATCGGTTTAGTGGGTTCCTTTTGAGTCATGGATTCTACCAAAGTAAGTTTGACTCCTTTATGTTCGTATATTGCCGGCCTTCGTGTAATTTGTATTTCTTTATATTGATGATATTCTCATCAATACAAGTAATTCATTGTCTCGTCTGACTTCCTATATCTCTCAACTTTCTACGACCTTTGTTATAAAAGACTTGGGCGAAATTCATATTTAGGGATTCCAATTATGAAAAACTCTGCATGGATTTTTCTCTCTCAATAGAAATACATTTATGACTTGATACAACATTTTACTCTTCATACTTCTAAACCTCTCTTTAACTGATGGTGAAACATCTCTCTCATGCTATTGAGTATTGTAGTATGGTTGATGCGTTACAATATTGTACTTGACTATGACTAGGGCGATATTACTTATGTTGTGCACCTTATGTCTGAATTTACGCATGCCCCACGTATTACTCATTTATTGATTGTCAAGCGCATTTATAAAGTATTTGTAGGGCACTCTTGCTGATGGGTTATTGATGAAATCGGGTTAATCTCCCTCTCCTATTACTGCATACTCTGATGCCAACTGGACTCGATGTTCATATAGCTATCAATACATTACTAGTTATGCCATTTTCTTCGGAGATCTAATTTCCTAGCACTCAAAGAAGCACCCCACGGTCTGAAAACCCTCCATTGAGTCATAATATGGGGCAGTTGCATATATATAATATCCAGGACACATTACTTATATGCTCTTTACTTGTCGATATAGTGTTCTTTCTTCCTCATCTTGTATAACTATATTGTGATAATGTTTCCACATCCTACTTGGTTGTTAATCCAATACAACATGATCGTGGCATACACATCAATATCGACTTTCACTTTGTGCGTGAGAAAGTAGTCCATGGTGATTTCATTGTCAGATATATTTCTACACAATTTTAGTTAGCAAATGTTTTTATTAAGAATTTATCTAATCAACGTTTTGAATTTTTTAAATCCAATCTACACGTTGTTTCTAAGCTTAGATTTGGTGTAACAGCAGTATATCTAAAACACAACCATTCTTGATGTACACACCTTATACACACCATGTTTGTGAAGCTTTTTTTTTGTCTGTGAATCCGGTTCACATACAATATTTTGTTTGTGCAAAACATTGTCTGTGAATCGATGTTCACAGACAAAAAAAAAAGCTTTCACAGACATAGGTGTGTACAAAAGTGTGTATAAGAGTGTGTACAAACATCATTTTTGATTGAATATAGATACACAGCGGCGGGCCGCATGAGCACATTTTGTTTGACCTAACCCTGCCTGCCTGTCCTGACCTGTTGACTGCCGCCGCCCAGCCAGCCATTATGATATTATAAAAAGATGGAGCGCCTAAATCGATCTTGTTTCTTCAATCAATACCGCCGGATCAATGCTTCTCTCCAACATAGTGAGCATAGACGTGGGCGGTCAGCTTTTCCAGACGACCAAACATACCCTTACGCAAGCAGGTTCGCAGTCCCTTTTCTCCCAACTCCTCCTCGCAAATCCCGCTTCGTCCCTTCCCTTCTTCATTGACAGGGACCCGGAGCTTTTCTCGGTTCTCCTGTCCCTCCTCAGGACTGGGAACCTCCCTTCAAGGGCAAAGGCCTTTGATGTCCAAGATCTGATTTTCGAGTCCCGATTCTACGGCATAGAGCAGCTCTTGATCAATTCCACATCCAACCCTTCTCTGCTTGACCCCTTCAACCTCCAAAAATCAATGGTTTTGCCGTTCAGCGGCAGAGACTCGCCTGCCTCCATTGCCACCACCCCATCCGGATCCCTTCACGTTGCGCACGGCAGTAAGGTCACCTCCTTCGATTGGGCTCTGCAGAGGAAGTCAACCATTTTGACCCCATTCACCGCCATCGATTCTCTCTTGGCTTTGTCCCCCAATGTCGTTGCAGCTGGCGCCACCGATCTTTCAGGCCTCCAGATTCTTGACGTCGATCAGGGTTCCGTTACAGATACCCTCCAGTGGGAAAACGTCACTCGCTCCGACTCCACCGTTCTTGCAATCGGCTCATCCCATCAATATATGTTCACTAGCTTCGAGTCCGGGAGGAGGAACTCCAGCTGTGTTATGGTCTATGATCTCAACACCTTCAGGCCTGTGACTGAGATCGGCCACTGCGAGATCTTCGGGGCCGACCTCGATTCTGCCATTCCCGCCACGAAGCTGAGGTGGATCCCCACTCATAACCTGCTCATGGCTGCCGGGTCCCACAGCGGGCCCTCCGGCGTGTCCGGCAATGTCAAGTTTTGGGACCTGAGGTCCAGGAACACCGCTCCCGTGTGGGAGGTGAAGGAGAGAGCGGATTGCTTCTCTGACATTACTGTCACCCCGGGCGGCATGTTGTTCAAAGTCGGAGTCCACTCCGGAGAGGTTTTCTTTGCTGATTTCAGGAACATCCTCAGCAGCAGCAGCGATGACAGTGTTTGGGTTTGCCTCGGTGGTGCAGACGGGTGGAGGACAGGGAACAACAACAATAAGAAGAAGAAGAAGGAAGGGGTCGGGTGTAGGATCGAAAGTCATGGGAACCAAGTGTTTCGCAGTAAGGGGGGACAGATAGAGTTGTGGTCGGAGGTTTTGGTAGGGTCGGGCAATGGCGGTGGGGTTTTCCGCAAGAACACGATGGGGGAGACATGGAGTGATAGTAATAGTATTACCCATATGAGCTTTGGAGGGAACAAGATGTTTGTTACTCGGAAGGATCAGCAATATGTTGAGGTTTGGCAGAATTGTGTGAGCAGCAGATTACTTTAGTTACTTACTTACTTTCCATATGGTATACATGCAGCGGCTCTCTCTCCCTCTTTCTGGATGGGAAGCTGTAGCTTGTGGATCAATAACCCTTCCAAGTCTTCTTCACTCAAATGCTCATTCATTCATTCATGTAATATTAATAATAATAATAATAATAATAATAATAATAATAATCCCTCTGTATTTAGATGATCTCTACATTACATTAGAAAAAGTAAGAGCGAAAGTAGAAAAGTAAGAAAAAGAAGATAAAAAGTAAAAAAAGTAAGAATAATTGAGTACTCCCTCCGTCCTGGTCATTTCTTTCGGTTTTGACCGGTATCGCAAATTTATGTAGTGGGAATAAAGTGAAAATGCATGATTCTAGTTGTGTAAGAAAAATGTGAATGAATGTGAACCACATATTTTTTCCAAAAGTAAAAGTTGAAAGAATTAATTGGGACGACCCAAAAAGGAAAGTTGGAAGAAATGACCGGGACGGAGGGAGTATTTTCTAAGGAAAAACTTACCGAAAAGAGAAAGTGTAGGCAAACTTTTAAATACATGTCCAATCTATTGGTTTGAAGAGGATCGTTTCCTTCTTTGGTTGGTTTATTATTTAAAGCCAATCTTAGGCTTCTCTTTGGTGTGGCAGTAGGGTATAGGTCCCCTAAAGGATTGGTTGGATAAGCAATGGACTGAGTAACATCTGTTGAGAGGGAATAAACTTGAAAAAGAATGTAGGCTAGCTAGGTATGTTTAGCTAATAATTATATGCATAATGCATACACAGGCCGGTCTCTGGCCACCCATATAAAGCTTTTGAACGTTGGCCTTGTGTTTAAAGGCACTTCGATGCAATGCAAACTCTCATGTGGTGAAAAATATTGGGTGAGAACAACTTTTTTACATATAATTGGATTGGGGGTGAAAAATTACTCTTAAGTGTGGTGGTTCGGATATACCAAGTATATACAAGAAAGAATGATCAAAAGGAAAACACACACACACATAGCCGAGAAGTCAGTTACACAAATTATTGAAAAACATTACGCAAAAAAACATATATAAAACACACTATTTTTCAATAATAAAGAACTGACTTCACGATCTAATTTTAAGCTGAAACTTTGTGGTAATAGTTTACGCTTCATGAATAACATCCTCAAAATGTGTGTGGATACTATAATATTTTATTGACGAGAAATAAAAAAAGTTTGGCATGACAATACAGAAGCTATAAAAGACATCCTGGGTGTGGATACTTAGTAGCTCCATGGTGGTTATATGATCCAAAAAAGGAGTGTTGAGTGCTTGGATATTTATATTCAGAATAATTAAAAGAAATACGGAGTTATCCGTGACTGTAATAATACTACTACTAATAATAATAATGTATTTGAATATCACATATAATGTCCCGGTAAAAAAAGAGATCTACAAAGAATGTCAAACTTTATCTGATAGAATTGAACGCCCATATGACATTGACACCTTAAATTAAGAATAACATCTAGGGAAAGAAATGAGAAAGAATCATAACCCTTGGATCATCTTTTATTATTATTTTCGACCAATGTTAATTGAGTAACTTTCACCTCTCCTTTAATGCATGGTTGCGTGCACTTTAATTGGCTTATCCATTTAATTAAGTAGGTAATATTACAATGATATTTATCATATTCAGCTCATTTTTTGTTTTTCTTTCTCTATTCGGACTTTGTTATTTTATCACGAATTAATTCCACATTAGGTCCTCTGAGTTTTGTGTCATTTCCATATTTAGTCCTCGTCTTTCACTTTATCCATTTTTGGTACCTTACTATTGTTTTCTTGACCATTTGTGGTCCATTTCTGAGCATTTCTACTATCGGAAAAGGACTATATATGGTCAAGAAAACAATAGTCAGGTACCAAAAATGGATAAAATGAAATATGAGGACTAATTGTGGAATTGATGCAAAACTCGGAGGACCATAAATGGATTTTTTTCTTTTACCACTCAAACTATGCACTTTTAGTAAATTAATTTTGCATAATGTCACCTATGATTATGATGAATATTTATAATAATTTACTTATACAATATTAATTCTACACACTTTTGTATGATTACTCAAACTTTATTAAAATGAAATATAAATAAATATCACCAATATATCTAATTTATTTGGTAACAAATATCAAATAATCATCAAACAGTTCATTTCCATTGGCTTGAAAAATTGTCTACCTGAATAGATTACAATACAATTTTTAAAAGCTAAATGCAAAATATAAAAAGTGCACTTATTTAGTGCACCAAAGTGGAAAATGTTCATTATATAATGCAATGCAGAGTGTATAATAGTGCACCTAATACATAGAGTATGCAATTTATATTATGAGACATTTAATAGTGAAAATATGTGAAAGGTGATGCATGATGTTTCAAGTATAAGTGCATACACATAAATATATGCATACTCTAGGTGATGTGTGATGCAATGTTCAAAAGTGCACAAATGCACGAGAAAGGTGCAAAGCGATTCAATGAAAAGTGCCATTCAAAGAAGTGAAAGATATTCTAATAGCAAGTGCATGAGAGATTCTAGTTGAAAATTTCCACTATGTATTTTATAAGTTATGCATTTTTAGTAAATTATTAAAAAATAATTAAATCCACTATGTATATGCTGAGGTGCACATATTAATTTTTTTAGTGTAACTTTTTGGTTTTGTGAATTCCCAGATCAACAATTGAATAACTTCTAAATAATAATGTGCATAATTGATATAGAAGAAGAATAATCAACCAACTTTCAATATTGTATATTCATAATGATATAGCAAAGAATACATGATATACGTATGAATAGTTGAGAGAGAAAAATAAAGTGGGAGTTCTAACAATGATACGTGCAGAAATAATCTATGAACGTCTTAGGCATGTTTCGAACCTCTACCTTTATTTATAGGATTGAAAATCGAACATCCTATTCCAATTAGAAAACCTACACGTGTGAGATTAATTAATTAACTAGCTCACTTTTCTCTTAACTAAAAAGCCCATTAATACTAGTCTTAATTAAATAAAGATAATTACAATTAATTTGAACATAATCAATAATGTTCTAACAGTATTACATGGTGCACAAGCGGATTACATAAATAATGTTCAAAAGTGCACAAAAGCACGAGAAATGTGCAAAGCGATTCAAAGAAAATTGTCGTTCAAAAAAGTGCAAGATATATTCTAATAGAAAGTGCATGAGAGATTCTAGTTGAAAAATTGGTACATTTATATGTTATGCATTTTTAATAAATTATCAAAAATCAAATAAAACCACTCTTTATGAAACGTGAAAAATAAATAACGGTGCTGATTTTTTTATTATTCCAAATAGCACTTTTTATGTAATTACGTTGCACCCATCTCACACATTCGTACATTTTTAAAAGTCATATTTGTATATGCAAAAAAGTCATATTTGTCTTTATACAAGATGTATAAATTATATAATAAAAAAAATATTTTTGAATTACTAATAAATTATATATGTGAGAGTTATAATCTCTAATAAGCTTTTAATAGAAATTACTTTAACTTTCAGGACTTTTAAGGTTTGTTGCACTTAATGAGTTGAATAATATGGAAAGTATGAACTTTAAAGCAGACATATATAGCACTTCTCTGTCAGATATATTCCAAACATGGAATTTTATCAATCCGGGACCTAAAAGATAGACAAACTATCAATTCGGGACCTGAAAGATGAAATGTATCGGTATAGGACCCGAATGATGGAGAAATATCAATCTAGGACCCGAATGATTGAAAACTATCAATTTAGGACCTAAGTTTTCAAATATTTTATTATTATTTTTATTTTTAAAAATTTAAATAATATTTAGTTTTATTAAACTAATAAACATTTGTGAAGAAAATTTCACCAAATATTAGCAATGAAAATAATAAAAAATTAAATAAATCAAAACCCATGAAATGTTAGGTCCTAGATTGATAGTTTTTCATCTTTCGAGTCCTATATTGATACATTTCATCTTTCAAGTCTCGGATTGATAATTTGTCTATCTTTCAAGTCCCGGATTGATAAAATTCTAACAAACATATAAGCATGAATAATGTTAAGGGTATAACGGTCATAGGAAAAGTGTTGGTGTCACTTTGTGCATTGAACAATTGTACCAAATGAATAATAATGTAGTACCGTGCTTACTTTACCCATTTCTTCACCACTAAATCATACTCCCTCTGTCCCGCTAACAATGGGACAAGAGGGAGTAGCACGCAAATCATTAAAAAGTGGTTTATGTGGTTGATATTGAATTGATAAAGTAAGAATAAAGTAAAAATGATTTAGAACCACACAAACTTTGCCAAATTTGGTATGGAACAATCTTAGTGGAACGGACCGATAAGATAAAACGGGACAATCATAGCGGGACGGAGGTAGTAATTCGGAACTCGAAAGATGAAATGTGTCGATGTAAGACTCGATTGATTGAAAACTACTAATCTAGTACCTAAGTTGTCATGAATTTTATTTTATTTTAATTCTAAAATTTTAAAATACTGTTTAATTTTATTAAATAATATTAGGACAATTTCTCTTTATTTTTAGTATTACTCCGTAATATTTTAAATACATTTCTTAATAATTTATAAAACAATACTCCCTCCGTTCAAATTTGATTTACAAAGTCAACAATTTTTTGCCAACCAATGCTAACATTAAATCTTATCTATTAATAATTAATTCAAATTTTAATAATTAAAATTTAAGTATTCAAAAATTACATTAAAATCTCTTCAGAGTTGCATGTTGAAGATCATTTAATTGTGAATCAAGTTTGTCATCTATTTTATAATAGATTAGCTTTATTATTATTCCTTGTATTAAATAGGTACATTGATTAGATAGAATATGGGCCAAGTGTTAGGCCCATACAAACAGGCTAAAAGCCTTTCACGCCTACCTGAACCTCGCCTATAAAAAGGGAGCCGAGGGTTCAGGATTAGGTTAACTTTCGTACTTGTTCATTATAGTCTTAAGCGCAAATCTTTCTGTGTACGAGTTCACGGTCTTTCAAAGAGGGTTTTACATCGATTCATCTGTGTTCATCTTTACGTTTAATCTTCTTTGTTAGACTGTTATTCATTG